ATGATTAAACACCTCCCAGCTGAACTCCTGCAGGAGACTTGCTGTCCGTCGAGCCGTGTGCGGCCTAGCGTTATCACTGACCGCACTTCACAGTCGGCGGGAGCTGGAATAAGAACCTCCATCTTCAACAGCTGCAACGATGCTAATGTGAGAACACGGGAAGTTCCGTTAGTGCGCGCCATGCTACGTCATTGCTCTATCACGTACGCACAGTCGCTTCGCGCAATATAAGGTTTGCTAGCTGTGGGACGAGTGGGAAACTTACTTTGAGGACGCGCCTCGTACATTATTAGACCAGCCAAAAATAATTAATTAAAGAAGGCACTGGGGAAATGTAATTACATTTCTCCATCATTTTCGGTCATGTATTTGTCGTTTAGTTGCGCCCATGTGGATTTTCTGCTCATAATAATTATGCCCTACTTACTAGGGAATGCGCACATTGTTCTTCTAGTTTTCCTTCTTAAAACAAACTGTACTATAAGAAAACTGCATATTTAACGAATTCTTGCAAATAAATTGTCGTTTACAAGTGATCTGTTATTTATTTATTTATTTATTACTGTGCAGCCACTTGAAGATCGCTTGAAGTTCGCTTGAAGTATGTAACAAAAAGCAAAAGAGTAACAGGAATCTAAAAATCTGTTTATTAAGGGCAATCTTGAGTTGTGAAGAGAGAGAGAGGCACAGCGCACATTGAGCTAATATTATGAAAGTACTCGTTTTCTTGTGACTGCAATGGATCATTTGAATTTTACAAAATAGAATACATAACACCTGAACTCTGGTGGCGTGAACTTTAAACAAAATGTGGTTATCGACAAACTTAACTCACCGCAAGTACAGTAGGCCATGAAATCATTGATACCAACATATTTTAAATGGTACAGCACGGTATGTTTAGATATCAATACGTCATTGTCGTTCGTAGTAATGTTAGGTAGCAAAGTCGTTTCTGTATCAAGACTAAAATGAACTTTTATTTCTACAAAGTCGAGTGTTTAACCTCTGACAACGTTACTCCGTAAGTTTTTAACGTATTCTAATGGGAAGGTTAATGTGCATTTTCACGTTATCCCCGTCAACCTAACCTTATTTCCTTAATGTCTTACAAATGTCAAGACTTTTCATATAAATTATTCTGAACTATTGCAGGAAAATCTTTCAGGTCCACATCGTGTGGGCATGAGCAGTTTCCATGCTATTGAGGCAGGTGTTGCTCAATGAGGACCAAAAGTTTTGTTCTATTTCTTATTTGTGTTGTGGCCACCAGTATATTTCTCATTCTGGTAGGCAACCAGCGCCCATCAATCCAGACAATTGTGACAGAAACTCACAAGCAGTTGAACAATCTAAAGAATTTCAAGGTAATGCAATTTCAGAAACTTTAGTTTATTTTTGTAGATTATTTGGTTATGTAAATTTCACATACACACAGCTGATAATTCAAAGACATATGAAAGATAGTGAGCTGGAAAAAACGTTTAAGGTGATTCCTAATGATGAACAGAATAAATGCTTTTATTTCAGGAGAACTTGGAAAATGCAGAAGAGAAGAGATTTTTAGCAGATGACAAGTATCTTACTATGTTAGGATTTACAGACAGTCCACGACTTTATCCAGCTGCAATATGGAAAAATACTTCTCTTCCCATAATTGTCACTTATGTAAGTACCTTTATTATATATATTAAATTGATCCATTGGATTTAGAGGATTACAAGTGAGTCTCCATCACTGCTGTAGTGATATTCTTTTGTTTAAAAGTAGCTGTTGCAGCAGTTCTGTGTTTCAGGTATTGGATGGACATGAGCAACAAGGAATAGGGTTTTCAAGGAATGTTGCCCATTTCCTGCCTAATCATACAACATTAATCTACAATTTGGGATTGGGACAGTATGGACTTCAGATGGTAAATGTATATAATGTACAAAGTATTAAGTGACATACATTTATTGAACATGCAGTGGGGTAGTTGTCTCTTTGTGTCCAAGGAATTCATTCAAATCATAAAATAATTTCTGTCAACCAGTAATATAAAAGCAGAACAAAACTCAACACTGAGGAATAGAATTGAATTGAATTGAATTTATTTGCATTCCACAGATTCTTCATAGGCCCAAGCCAAGGATATAGGACATGTCATGGCATAAATACGATACTTGTTTCTAATACAAATATAAATTACATACTTATGGAGACCTTTTCTGTGTCATTGTCAGAATTATGGAAGTTTTTCAAGGTTATCTCATACTATAATGTTAATTAGCTGTGAAAACTATGCTATTTCATAACCACTTATTCAAAATAGCATATGACTAGTTTGTTAATTTATATTTTAATTTGTTAGGTGACCCATACACTTGTAAAAAAAATGTCTAAAGGCCTCTAATAACTGTCAACATATCTTATTTCAGCTTCAAGGTCACTGTAACAGTAGTCGATGCAGTGTTGTGAATTTTGAGCTCAATTTCTTTCCTTCACATGTGGAAGAGGAAAGACTACATGCATTTCGTCCACTTGTAATACAGGTAATTTTTATGAATGAGTGGTAGGTAGCTGTATAGTCACACATACTTTCATGTGTCTAACAAATTCTCTAGTGTTCTGGAACTCTACCTTCCAATGTACTCACCCTCCATTATCATGACCTACTAATTAGGTCGATCTTAACATTGTTCTGTCATATCTGCTCTGCCTCCTATTTTGTTAACTTTTCATTGCTTGTTTTATTGTCACCCATGCGAGATATATAGCTTTATCATCCCTCCTTTATTTGTTCAGATACCACTAGGTGAAAATCCTCATTTAGTAATTTCTATACCTCACTCTTAATTACTCTCTCATTATTAAATATCACCCTAATTCCTTTCTCAGATATGATACAATTTGCTTTTTCCCTTGTGTGTAAGAAACCTGGTTTTACATTCTTGCAGAAGTATGAACAAAACTACTGGAGAAAATAAAAAAGTTCTGAATAGTAACTACAGTTTTGTAAGATATTTCTGCGTTCAGTTTCATATTGCCACTCAGTTTTGCTACCATTTTTATACCTTTAACAGGTCGGATAGAATTATTTTAACGTGAGTTTGATTAGAATATGATTGTGAAAGATCTTTGTAACTTTTTTTAAATATACAAGGACTTCCCAGTTGTCTTACATGTATCATATTGAAGCAGTTAGGATAAAGCATCTTCTGAATTTAGACCATTGTGAATTATCAATGTCTTCATCAGTTCAGCATGATGACAATATCAACTTTGCAAGTTTGAATCACCAGCTCATTCATTGTAGGTTTTTGAAATTTTGAATGGTTGTGCAACATGTATGGAAATGCATTTTGTAGAAAAGTGAAAGACAGCAACATGGTGATTGTGTTTATTTATAATTATGGTATTTTACACCCAACAGGATATTTTTAGAACTTTCATTTGTACAGAAGGGATAATGTCTGCACTAAATCATTCAGTTATGAGTTCCCACTGTTTCACATAAAAACAGATCTGTTTAACTCATAATTACAATGAGACTGGAGAAGTTTGTTTCCAAATAAGATTTCTTATAAGCAGTGTATTTAATACATCTGGATGTTCTGTATTATCTAAGAACATGTTGCAGTACTATTGACATAAGAACAGTATTCTATTTTAAAAGTCAGATTGGCCATAATAGTATTGGTGATATTGAAATACAAAGGGTCCAATCTTTTAGATCTGAAAAGGCATGAAACTAATGGCAAGTGTTTTTGAAATCTTACCTGTCCAGTGTTGCCTGTTAATTAGGATGCTCTGAACAAGGCTGGTGCTGTCCTGTTTCTGGAGTCTGACCAGCGCCTGATTACTGGACACTTGGAGCCTCTGATTCAGCAGGCTTTAAGAGGTGCAGGGGTGGTGAGTTGGGCCACTCACTATGCCACCTCTTCCCTTACTCATCCCAAGATGTTTGATTACTTCCACACCAATGCTGATAGCTTTTTGTTCCTGCCTATGGTTGAAGCGACAAGGTTACTGTTCTACAACTTGCCTGGTGTCCATAATGGCCTCATACTGCCATGGGTTCAGTGTGCTCTTACTCAGGATTGTGTACTTCCAATTGGTAAGAGTTGTTCAACCTGTTTTGTAAAGTGATCATATGTACTCAGTTTCATCTGGGCAGTTCACCCTTGCTGTGATCAAATAGAGATGATACAAACTTTGCAGTCTTAATGTATTAATTATATTTACAATACATTTTTTCTATAGTTATCAATAAACTTCTTCTATCTTTCAGGAATAGTTTGAAGTATGTTCCTTTATTCTTTGGAAACACTGTATTATAGAAGTAAGCATTCTTATCTTCCTTCTGCATGGATTCTTGTCACATAGCAGTGAAAATTCTTTTCTATAAAACATAATTTCTAGCTGAGTGCACTATCTGCTTCTCAATTGCTTGAGTCAATTTCAGCAGCACAATGTTTGAGAAAATGATGAAGAAACATATTCAGATGTCAGTTTTTGATATAATTACAGAGAGTCTGAAGTATATGTGATTCTTCAAGTAGCAAATATGAAACAATTCTTGAAAGTCATTCAATATTGGCAAATCACTGCAGTACTCACTAATGTAGCTGTTTACCATCTGTCTGTCAAAAGAGAGTTTGGCATTTAAATCATTCTGATTTTCATTGTAACATTGTTAACTGGTAGAATAATTGTTATTTAATATCATTGAGCAGCAGTTACTGCAGCAGAGGATTGAGGGATTTCCTGTTTGTATAATTTTTATATTTGTTGCTGTTTCTAGTAATGTATGTTTTATTGTAAGCAAATGGATATAATTTGATTATAGAAAAGTTATAATGTAGTTGATGTCATTAGAGAGATGAACACACACAACTTTAAGTTTTAAGTTACATTGTAGATTAAGTTCAAGGTACGGTACTTGCAGTTAAAGTTTGCTCCTTAATTTTGATCATATTGCCATTTAATATTAGGTGCTATCTGTGAATTACTCTGCCCATACATGTGCACACTTTTCCCATCCTTGCAGCATAGATTTGTTTAGGATGGGTTCACAGCCAATAGAGAAAGTAAGAAATGGTTAACTTCCAGATAAAATTTGAACTGCCCTTATGCATTACATTTTTTCCTCTATGTTTAACAGGTGCACAGTCTGGTGGTTGTCGTTTTAATAAGAAACCACAGTATCGTTACTCAGGATGCCATCGGTATGACGGCTCTGCTCTCAACATTGCCCTTGGGCTTAAATTTGGGTTTGATGAAGGACAGTACACATACAAAGGTCGTGAGAAGTTCTTCAGGAAAGTTGGGCCAGATGTTGTTGCTGCAGAGATGGCAGGGTTGGATGGGAATGCTACTGAGCCAACAATTATGACGAGGGATGGCATCTGAGAAATCTCACTAAATATGTAACAGCTGTTTATCATTGTTCTGCAGTACTAATGACTCTGAAGTCCATTGCTAAAATATACTGTATCTGATCAAATTCCACCTGTCAGTGAAAGGAAATTGTTTCAGTTATTCAGAAAACTTAATTGAGTTACTGGAAGTGGGGAAAAAATATTTATATCATAACTGTTTAGTAGGTTAACTACTGTTTTTTTTAATAAGCCACACCAAATGCTACAGGTTTTCCATTGTTTTGGCTGATACTGCCATTTACATCTTCAGAGTGAATGTGTATTAGAGGGTTTTGGAAGCCTTTTATACATCAAGCTGCTATCCAGTCCAGGTATATGCTGGTAGTACCCTAAAATAGGTCACAAGCCCATCATTCACAGTTCAGTACTATGTAGCAGTAACTTGTGCACTTGATAAAGTGTCATTAATACACCAAGAAGCAACAGAGGAATCAGGGATTTGAAGTTCTCAAGGCAGAAAAGATATTAGTTATGGTCATCTAGGTTGTGGTACTGTGTAGTGTTTACTGACATTTTGGAGGAACATGTCACCTCCTTCTTAAAGTTGAGATAGATGTGATATATTCTTCCAAAATGTTAATGACTGCCTACAAGACTACACAGTATCACAGCCCAGAAGATCATAATTGATAACAAATCTTTACAATGTTACTTACAGTTACAGGTGTAATCACTGTGTTTGGTGTTGTGGTGTAATAGAATATTTAGGTTCGGATGTACACTAAAGAATCATCACCACTGTTTGCTCCAAGAGAAATGTACATTTGGAAAGGTTCAGATGTAAAATTGTGACCCATCAGAAAGTTGGGGCCAGCAATAGATTATTCGTGTGGAAAAAAAGTTGTAGAGTGGTATTGAAGCCAGAAATAATATGAATATAAAAATATTTATTTATGTAGTAACTTTTCAGTTTTGGATTAATTTGCATAAATATGTAAATGTCAATAAAAATAGAAAACTGAAGAGAATATAGTAATAACATACTTAAAAAACTGAAGTAATTTACAGAACAATGAAGGTTGAAAAGTTGATCACTATACACAGAGTTTTAGCCATGTTATTAAAATGGCTGAACCTGCCCATTGCAGTTTTTGAAGATTTATAATGTTTGCATACAAAACAAAGTGCAATAACTTGCCTGAAAGCTGTTCACTTTAAACCATGTGGGACCTATTTTACTGAGGAGGATCAATAAATCCATACTCATTGCTTATATTTTTTGTGAATTAGAAGTGATAAACCATTGAAAGTATGAGACTTTTCCACAACTAAGACAAAGAATATTCTAAAACAATTGTGATTTCTAACATTGAACTTTGAGACATGGTAGACCACTTTGTAATATTCTATCTTGTGGGCAACAGTGAGGCTTATATATACCTGGTACTTTGTTTAGATTCCAAAGTGTGACTTCTGTTGGTTTAAAGTTGCATACTGTGTATTTGTTTTTACATAGCAGTAATTTTTTGTAAATACTGAAATGTCTAATTAAATTTACATCACTAGCCATCAAATGACGGCTCTAAAATGTATGTTAGTTTGATCTGTATTCATTCTACATTATTTCATTCCCAGTAGAAGACGTAATAGTAGTAGTAGTATAGGATAAAGTGCTACTTTGGCTTCCTGATATAGGGAACAGTGGTCAAGCATTACTTATGGACTTGTATCTTTACTTCTATAAGCACATAAACTGTTCTAGTAATTTCCTGTTGAGAACAAAGACATTGTTTAATAATTCCAGTTCCAATATATATTGCATATACAAGTGTGCATGTGATAACAATCACATAATAAAAAGGACATTATTTTCTGTACATATCATAGTTACCATATGTATATAATTTAATTTATTTTTACAGTCTGTTATGATTTAGGATAATACAGGAAGTTCATTATGTGATCTTAATACAGGTATTTTTAGGGCTTTTTTATAAAGACAGAACATTGAAATAGTTCCATACACAAAGCAGTAGAACAAAATAAACTATACATTGCTTTAACTTTGTCTTAATCATAATCTTTGTTTTTATTATTTCTATAATTTAGTAGGATAAAATTTTGTGAAAAATTAACCCATTGGTTTAAAGAGGTGGTTAAATGTTCTCTCTTCTAGGATAAATTAATGCTGGGGGCTTCCTCTGTGAACCTGATTTCCAAAGAAAGAAACTTTAAATTTACTGAAAGTAAAATCATAGTTGTGTCTAAGATTTGAGGTTTTCACAGCGGTGAGTATGAAGATTTCTGTCTTCTGGGTTGTTGATATTCATCGCCCTGATGACGGAGGCAGTATGACCTCTGAAACGTTGGTTAACATCGACCAGACTACACAGCGCAACAACCCAGAAGACATAAATCTTCGTAGTTCTGTCTATGCTATTGTGAAGGGAATACAAATTAAATTATAATTTTTAAAATTAAATTATTGCGTCTTGAAGTGTTCTTTATCATTGCATATTACAAACTACCAAAGAGTTGTGGTATGGCAAAAATTAAGTCTGATACATGAAATTAAATTAATATCGTCTCATAAGGATTATATATTTGGGATGGATGGGAATGGGTTATGCAATGTTATTCAACCTGGTCCTTGAACTTCAAATTAATGACTTCAAATTGCTATAGAATAAAAGAAATTATTTATGTATTATAAGCTGCTGTTCTATACACAATACTTAGAAATAATTTATTTTGCTTCACTATGATTTTCTCATTTTTATGAAAAGAAATTATTTATTACATGATCCAAGGTCAGAATGAAATAAACTAAATTAAATTGATTTTTTTTATTTCAGCCATATATATTTTGTACTCAAAACTCTTTATAATTGTCTTATTTATTTATTTTTCATCGAGATATTCATCCTTTACTACTTTCAATCCTTATTTGAACTGTAAGTCTAATATGAAGACTTTATATTCAGGAATCTTGCTTGAGACTTGAAGTGTTCACAGGATTCTGTATTGATTGTAAAGTTTTCTGAGCATCACATACACTCACAATTAAAAACATTGCAGATATTTTGGTGGAATTTAAAAATTCCTCTGAAATTCAAATAAGTTTCATGATGGGATACCCAGAAGACTGAACAATAATTTCTTTTACGTTGTATGTTCTCTAGATATTAACTGGTTTGATATTTTACAGATTAAGGTGTGTTGTTTCGCATGTGATTTGTGGGTAAAATTATATCAACATCACATAATTTTCTCTTCTCAACCACATAATCAGTTTGTTGTCAAATTCTGTCAGTCATTTGGAATAGTCTGAATTTTATGTAAGCAAATACTGATAAACTTTGCAGAAAATAAATTATATGCCTTAAAATACAGTTAATTTAGGAAGAATACTTGTTCCTTTTCATACACATGTGAGGTGACATTTGAAATGTGAGGGGAAATGTTTTCATGTTTCAGATTTGTTATAAAAGTGTTTTTGTTAAATTACAACAGATTTTATTGTACATATGTCTATTGTGACTGAAATCCATTTAAGGCTAAAATAAACCATTTTCAGTGCCCTTCTTTATCAGTGTACACATATGATTTAAAATTATGTATTTTATTCAAATTATAATTCATTTGTTGATTTAAAAAGTAGACTATAAGGATTGTAACAAATTGTTTAAGGAACTAGAATAGACCCTAAATAGGTTTTGAGGTTTCCACAGCAATGAGTATGAAGATGTCTGTCTTCTGGGTCGTTGTACCATATAGTCTGGTAGAAGTTTACTGACATTTCAGAGGTTTTTGCTGCCTCCATCATCACAGCAGTGAGTCCATTGCCATTGGTGCCATAATAGAGGCACAGACATTGAATACTGAGTGCTGTGTCAGTATTTAATGCATTTAACCCTCTTGGTTAATTGTGAGCAGGCATTAGCATGGCAGTTAGTGATGCCCAATAATTTTGAACTGTCAATTTATGTGTTGTAACCTGTCTGTGAACTTTTCAGTAGATTCAGTCCAACATATAGGGAACCACATTCCAGTCTGTTATGCAAATTTTACAGCATAAATAGCATCTCAAGGGAGTCCTTGTTCAACACTGACATTTGTAAGATCATGTTTGAGACCTGTGTTGGACTGAGCCTGACATTTCAAAAGTTAAAAGGAAATAAAATGGAACTTATGATATAAGAAATGCTTAAGGAAGTGGACCTCCTAGGCTTAAGAGTGTCATGTGTTTTCATGTCGGTTTATCCTATTTTAATTTTTTGGTATTCCGTAGATGACAAATATTGTGTTCCTGACAATGTAAGAATCTGATATTGTGTAATATTATTTTGAATATAACAGTGTTGAATTACAAAAAGATGAGACTATTCTGTGATTCATGTAATTTGTTTTACTTCTGTTTCAGTTGAGCAGATACTGAAAGGTCTGGTACAAAATACCAATCTGATCACTTCTTCCGGAGAGCAAGGTTAGTACCACATTGCTACTGGGTTTTCCTGTGTGATTTCCACAGTTTAAATTGTGCATGTGACTATGCAGTTCAAAAAAATTTGGAGAAGTGTGTCATGCAGCTTTACTCCTATTTCTGAATGGATTTTCATTTATTTAATATAAGGAAATTAATCATGGATTATTATTATTGTGTACAAGCACATATTTGGAGTTAATGTGGTATACCAAATGTACATACTTCTTTATACATTTTCTTGGATGGAGTTTAATGTATAACAATCTTTTGGGTGAGAGCCATGTCGAATGTTTGGTGTTAACGTTTCAGTACATTCTCAAGGTGGGTATGTGGTGGAGCCATTTATAAGGCCTTATAGGGCAGGCAGTGAAACGTTCGTACGGAGTTTTATTATTTTTATTTTATTCCTGGTCTTTGAATGACACTGGAATTGGTGCGGCTCGTCTTGAAGAGTTTTACATATTTAATGAGGGCTAATATGTAATAGGTCATTGTTTACGTGTCTCGTAAATTTCTGATTTCACAGTTTCCGCTCATGAATGAATGCGGAATTATGTGGTGACATCAAATGAAAAACTGCTTTCAGTTTTGGTATTCGTTTATTTTATGTAGAATTTAATATATTTACTTCGTATTAAGTCAATATAATAATAAATTAACGCACTGTTGCAATTTATGTTGTCTGTTTCGAGGTATTAATTATCTAATATATGTTTATTTTGAAACATCTGTTTCGTCTTGATCACCTTGTTTACTTGGCTGTAGGACATGGATGCTGGTGGAGATTGTATAGTACAAAGTAGTGTGTATTGGTTTCTCTTTGTTTATTCTCATTTTATAGTTTATACTGTATAAACATACGTATATGAAACAGAGAAGACAATGCAAACGTACACGGATTATCCAAGAATGGGTCATTATGATCCATCCGTGACTACTTCAGCAGGTGAAATGTTAAGTATGTACTAACAACATTCGTTTAATAGATTGTTAAAATGAATGATATTGTGTTAATTGAAAATAACATGTTCAGGAAATAGTTTATAAATTCATCAGTTAGAGGAATGCTAATTACTGCTTACATAATCTTGTAATGAATCGAACAGGTGCCGTAATAATGTAATTCATCACACATCCTTTATTACACAGATTTCTTGATCTGGCGTGGTAGTCGCTTGTTAGTGTAGAAATCTTCCGATTGTGTATATTTTACATGAGAAAATAAACTTTGCAAGGAGAAGCTATCAGTTTCTTGAAGTTTCCTGTATTTCTGATGGAGAATAACCTTTTTATGAGTTGAATATGTATGTAATTAAAACATAATTTAAATTACTTGCATTTCCTTGTAATTTTCACATATGACATTTTCCATTGACCGAAGTTTAAATGTACGAAGAAATCTAAACAAAGTTACTTTTCCTGATTTGTAAGGTTCTAAAAATAAAATTAGACATAGAGTGTTATTAAATAACCATTGGGAACTGAAACACCCCTTAATTGGTTGCTTTGCTGACCAAGCTATCTTGCCACATTGCCTCATCAAATTCATTTGTCTAATGCCATTTGGTTTTCATCCCATTTAGTGTACAGTGATGGCAGTGCACATTATCCTTTGGAAGAAGATACTTATGAATTACCGAGCGAAGGGTTTGTTCCTACAAGTGAGCATTTTGCTGAGGGTTATACAAATGCAGAGTTCCAAGAAACACACACTATTCTTGCAGATGGGGGGGATCGTTTTGGAGTGTCAGCAATTGCATTTGATCAGCAAGAAGAATTACTATGGATGGGTAATCAGGGTGTAAGTATTGTAAAAATATATGTAATGTGGTGCAAAGAGACCACTAGCTGCTGCTGCAGCTACTATAATTTATTTCACTGTACTGTTCAGTGCTAATTTCAGTACTAAATCACAACAATAACAATATATTACAATGACTTTTCAGGGTCATGTCACATCTTACTATGGACAAGGCCTCCAGAAATACACTTCTTTCCAAGTGCATGCAAATCAAGAGGTCCGACATATCCACACATTTGAAGATGGGATCTTAGCTTTGACACAAACTGCCCTTCGATGTCAAATTCGAAGAGGAATACCAGTATTTACACATAGGTAATAGACAGTTATTTGTTATATTTGTTAAACATAACTTGCACTGTTCATTCCATATTGATTGGCTTATCTTCTTATTAAGGAATGAGGGTTTGGGAATTTCTTGATATGCTTCTCAAGAACTCTGCTCTATGAATTTAATTATACATTTCTTTAGTTCTTTAAGAATTTTATTGAATTACCAATTGTCCTGGCTTTGGGCAGGGTGCCTAGTCATGTACCTACATCCAACAGGGCATGTGAAGAAGGACATTGCATGCCCTTGAGACAGCAGGCTGTCTGATTACATGGTAGTAATGTTCCTGGAAGAGGCAGAAATTATGAGAAAATGTTTGAAACATCTGGGGTAATACAGTGAAACATATTTATGGTGTTTGTGTGGTGACAAACAATTTTTAACGCTATAACTGGGAATATTATGTACAGGAAAAATATTTTTTGCCTTATAGATCATACATGAACTACTGAAGATACCAGAAACATGATGTAGAATATGTTCTTATTCATCACGAATGACATATTGCTGGATGTGTTGTGTGTCCAATTGTTTAATTGTTTTGGGCAGGATAATTTCTGCTGTATGTCTTTGCCTGATGCAGGTGTAGCCAACCTTACATCAGTCAGAGAAATTAATTAATAAGAATTTAATTGAAGTGTATAATTATTTAGTAATATAATTTATAGAAATTGCGGATTTTAGTCTTAGCCCTTAAGAAATATTTTCCATGTGTCCTCTTTTTCAGCTTTTGATTTAACATCTTGGCTGCAGTGGTAGAGTGTAACTGGCTATTCCTATCAAACTCTGCAGATTTATTTTATGAGTCATATTTACTCATTCCTTTCTTTATTTAATCCCTAAGCCTGTGTCTTGTTTTAGGAATAGATTGAAATGTGTTACTAATTTTTGGTCACATTATATTATGTTAATAAGAATTTTTAATTATGAAACATTAGCACCTCAAATGCAGTATTACAAAGCAGATCCTAAAAATTAAGGCAGATGGTTGATTGATTCATAGGTTATTTAATGAGACTGTATCAACTTCTGAGGTTATTTGGCATCTGTGAGAAGAACATGAAAAGACTGGAAATAAGATTTTGTGATATACTTCAAAGTATATTGATTTTTTGCAGTTCTGATAACATGGAAGAAATGCAGTGCCAGCTACAGATTTCTCGAGATACATTACTGATGGGTGGGCATCAAGATAAAGTAATCGAGTTTAATCTCAGTCAGGGTCAAGAAACAAATCTGGTATGCAACATTCCCCACAATTCTGCAATTTTAATTGGACAAAAGTTTCAACATGTTACTTATTTTCTCATTCTGTTCTGTATGCAGTTAATTCTAACATCCTTAACCTCTTCAGGGTTATAATCTCACTGAACAGCTGTTGTATTGCATTATGGCAGAAATAAATTGATTGATTTTCTTTCCTACAAATTAATGAACATGTAATATGGTTAATATTTTCACTAATGATGCTAGATGGCAAAATGTTCTGTATTTGACCCTAAAAGTGCATTGAGTGGTTTATTAGTTTCTGTGGAATAAGTTTGTGATGGATATTGTATGTTATTACATTACACAATGAGGATGTAATCATGTTACGATGTTAAAAAAACTGAAAAGTGTTTTTGATATGTTAAGTCTGCCTACATCTGTTCATTCATCAGGAGTGAAACGTTGCATATAAATACTCTGTTTGTGATAATTTTAAATGTTCTTACTTCTAGTTACATGTGGGAAAGAATGGCTGTGCGATCCTGCGGCTACATCCTCGATTTATATGTGCTGGAGACCCAACTGGTAGGATCGATCTTCGTGATCCTAGCACTTTGAAAGTGGAGCATACGTTAGAAGCACACTCAGGGAGTTTATCTGACTTCGATGTACATGGAAATCTATTGGTTACCTGTGGATTTTCAAATAGGTATAGTATGTTATATGCATATACAGATTGTAAAAAGTTACCATTGTAAGTATTTTTCCCTTCATTCTAACTGAATACTAATTACTGTAGTTGCTGCTGTATAACGCATGCGTGTATATAACACATACCCTTGTTTTTGATGCAGAAGAAAAGCCACTTCCTTCCCCTCTTTAAATATATGTTTTATGCCTTATATATATGCTAATTTTAAGAACAATTAATTTTTAAAGGAAAACTGTGTGTTATACAAGAGTAGGTATGGAATCTAACTAACTCACTCCATAGAGTAAAGTTCTCAGCAAGTCAAGAAATTTCCTACCTCTTATTGAACCTGAAGCTTTACTACTATGTTCATAAAATCCTGGATACCACCAACTGTCCCTATCCTGAGCCATATAAACCCAGTTCACGCCCTCCAACCCTGTTTCCATAAGGTCTGTTTTAATATTATCCTCCCACCTATGTCTGCGTCTTATGAGTGGTCTCTTCCCTTCAGCTTCCCCAACCAAAATTTTATACACATTTCTTATCTTTATCATGCATGCTGTATGCTCTGCCCATTTCATCCTCTTTGATTTGATCTTTTGGTTTCTGCAATATTTTTCATTATTTTTGTCATACTTTGAGAGCAATTATAGGCGTAGTTTGACTAAAGTTAAAGTGTACTTTGCCTTTGGTGTGTGTGGTTATCAAGTAAAAATACTTTTCTGTGGAATAATTATGTATGAATTATAGTTGTATCTTGTAATTATCTGCTTATATTTTGATAGTGCATACTTTTGTTCTGTTCAGACAAGGCAGCTTATCAGTAGATCGTTTCCTCATGGTGTATGATCTACGCATGATGCGTGCTGTGACACCAATCCAAGTGATGCTGGACCCTCTGCTACTAAGGTTTATGCCATCTTTTTCATCTCGTCTAGTCACTGTGTCTGCTCTTGGTCAAATGCAGCTTGTTGACACTGTTGCTCTTTCACAGCCAAATCTGTGTTTATATCAGGTATTATGTCGACTGGTGAAATCAGAAAATAAGTACAGTACAATAAGTTCCTGCTTTAGAAAAACACAGTTAAACCTCATCAGTACAAACATGCAGGGACATAAATTTTTATAGTTTTTAATAACTTACATTTATAGCAATGAAACTGAAAAATATTTAACTACTAAGATAAGCTTTTATTTTTTACTGAAATTTAACTGTTGTCCAGCTGCTACATTTGTAATTTCAGGTCTCAAACTAAACTCGTGTGACTATGCAAAAAGCAACAAACACAGGCTGAATATATGAGGAATAGAGTAAAGGCAGTTCTATTTTGCCTTAAAAATGATGTTTACATAAAAAATTATATATATATTAACAGTATCAACCTTCCTTCATTTGCACCTGATTAGTTTTTATTGTGTTTGGAGTAATTATATTATGACTGTAGTCTGATTTTGTTGTCATGAGATGTGAAAAACCGTGTAATTTATGGAAAAGTGACAGTTTAATACTGCAATACTTCTATGAACTGGATTTAAGTTTGCGAATGAATAGATGATAATATTATTTTATCAGAACTTAAAATTTACCTGTCCTTGTACCTAAAGTTAAATATCTGCTCAAGTATTGTCAGTTAATGGTTACTTCATTTTTTTCACCATGTGAAAATTTGCCAAAATCTTTACTGTTTTAACTGTTGTAGAGATGTAGGTTTATGACAAAATTGTGTGGAAGTACAGAATTTCACTGACAGATCACATAAGCTATTCATAGATTTCAGTTTGTTTTGTTTGAAGTAGAGAGAATTGTGTGTTTGAAACACTGTGCCATAACATATTAACCATGAAAAAATCCATCAATATGAGATGTAAGGTCCTTACAGAAGTGAAGATGTTGATGCCAATCTTCTGGGTTATAACACCATGTGGACATGGCATTTAGATACTAATGTTCCTCTGAAATGTTAGTACCCGTCTGAAAGGCTACACAGTGACAAAACACAGAAGACCAATGTCAACATTTTTAATGACATCTCATTCCGCTTCCAGGTCAACACAGCTGGCTCTATGTGTTTGGCACTCGATGTGTCATCGTCCTGCCAATGTATGGCTTTTGGTGATGGTGGAGGTTCTATCCATTTCTATACATCCAATCCACATAGAGCCATGTTCAATAGCTTTTCTCGGGAGACTGAGTTTGCTGATCCAGTTGAACCTCTACCACCAATTAGTATTCTGGATGATGTTACACCATTATCTTCAGTTCCATTACCATATTACCAACCAGGGAGTATGTTGCTCTCTGATTGGCCAGAGCAGTATTTGAAGAAAGTATACAGGTAAATACTGTCTTGGAATTCCATCATTTGACATAGTGCCAACATAAAAATAGTACATGTTTACATCTTAACTGTTAGTGTCTCATTGTGTACACGTTGCTTTCTCAAATCAGATATAAATTTATATGAGATGATGAAATTAACCCAGCTGTAGGTAACAGTTTCACATTGTGATATTTTTCAACTTTATCTGTCAAATGCCTTCTAATTATTATTTCAGACGGACACCGCCAATTGATCCAGAGATACTGAGAACCATGAAAATGCAGGGAACAATTGGCTATGCACCAAACCCCATGGGCCACCGAAGAAATCAAGTGAGGTTTCAGATTTTAAAAAACCCTTCATATCGTATATTGTAGTTTGATAAATCTGAGTGTTGTGGTTATTCTAGTATTCATAGTTGGGGGTGTGCAAAAATTATTTCACTTGAATACCACACATCCACATAAGCTTCATGCAGATTCAAAAATTAAACAAGGGCTCCAGTAATATGGTTAAGGTTTGGTTTCTTTTGATAAAAACAGGATCCCAGCTGAGTTAAGGCTTTGTCTGTACATGAACATATGTTCTGTGGTGCCAGAGATTAAGTATGTTGTTAAATTTATGTACTCAATTGTGAGTGATTCTGTCAAAGACATTTATTTTCTTTCATATTTGTTATATTGCTTCATTATGTATTGAGCATGTAATCTCAAAAAATATTACTGTGATTGTTAATATTATTTTTGCAAGAATCAAGTACAGCCTTACATTAGGTGAAATTGTTAGTCTGTTAAGGGTGTTTGAGCCGGATGTGAAACATTGAAGTTAATAACTCAAAATTTTTGTTGCTGAAGTTCAAATTTGAATTTCAGCTTAATAACTTCAAAGCTTTGACACCCCGTGTTTGTTAATAGCTATGAAATTGCCATATTAACTTATTCAGTACTCTTTAACTGTATTTATTATAACAGTAACTGAAGTACATCTAATCATTGTAGCTTAACGTATAATGTACTGCTTACAATGGTACAATCAAATAAAGGTTACATGAACAGTCATAAACCTTTCTTTTTACTCCCTTTTGCCTGACTTGATTCAGTGGGATCACTGTTGCATCTTTCCTTACTTCTTACATGTTCTTTAGTGGGTACATTTTGTGGTGATGTACATTCTACGAACCTTGATCATGTTTAACCCTCGTTTGTTAGTACACATCGTAAACCATATTGCACGTTACCACTGGACTGCAAATAAAGTGAAGGTTGTATGGTTATTTCAGGTTAAGGGATATTTAAGTCGATGAAAAATGTTTTGTTGCATTCGTGTAGTTGTACGTGATGATAAATCATCATAATTTACACAACTTAATATGCGTTGCTGAAGGTTTTATATGTTCCTTATTAGATACAGTGCATAAGTCTCAGATTTAAATTAAACACATTTCAATGTAAAGGCACTGTTGGGGCTGGTAAAATGCCTTCATTGATGTACTGGGTCTTCGAATGAGTGACTTGTAAATGTTTCTGATTGAGGTACAGTGTAGTAAACAAGATCAGAAAGGTGAGTTTACATGTGCATTCTTTTTCCTTTTCTCAATGGTAGTAGCTTAAATAGAAGATGACAGTAAATTACATGGGTTGTCATAAGTAGCATCCACTTAATATTCCAAGGGATTGTAGATGATGTGAAAACATTAGCATATGTTTTCCATGAAAGATAAGATTTATTGATGAAACCTTTTGGAGAGCATTTTCATTAACATGAATATCAGGGAAACAGGTCATTAGGGATAGAGTTGGATGGAAGTGGCTCAGGATCATGGCAGGCTTTGGTATGGAGTTATGGATCAAAATCTTGAAAACCAGAATTTTTTAAAAAGTTTTTTTACATTGTTAATTTTATTTAAGGTAAGATAAGCATGTGTGCTTGAGAATAAGATTTTCAGTGTTATTTAGCATTAAATGATGGATGCCTTACATTTTTGGATTATTTTTGTAGGCATTCGTTTCTTTACATGATTGGTTGGAGTAAAAATTGTATTCTAGTGGAAGGTTAGTTGAGTTAAAATTGGCATTACTGATTCTATGCTGAAACGCTGATTCAGTGAACTTTTATTTATTCATTTATAGAGCAACCATACTGAAATTTCTGGTATTTGTCTCATTGTGTCTGTATGAAATTAAATTTTTGATATATGTTGCCACAAACAATTCCATAATATTGGATGCTTCATTAGTTGTCTAGCATTAGTCTCAATGCCCATAAAAGAAGGCTGTCCTCCACATAATCAGTATAAGATTTGTTCTAAACATTAATGGAAATATGTACTTGGATTCACCACAAAATGAGGCATCCTTCCTTATATCCCCTTCTTACTAAATGCCAGTTTTTCAGTTGAATCAATATTATTGCGTAACCTGAAAATTGACCTTGTGAAATACACAAAATAATTAAAATTATGAAACTGAGCAGTTAAACTGTCACATAGAACTCTCCATTCTTTGTTTGGGTAATATGGAGTGCCTAAATATTCTGATGTTCTTACCTGTTGAAGAGCAAGATAATTTTTTTTTTATCCTTACAGGTGGCATATAAATTGCAGAAACATGGTGGTGGCCATAGCCAGATAAAGCTATTTGGTAATGATTCCCGAACAGGTAAATCAGGAGAAGAGGCAAATTTCATTGCAATTCCAAAACGCTACCGTAAGATTGATGTTAAGTATTCAAAGATGGGCATGAACGACTTTGATTTTGACCAGTACAACAAGACTAGATTCCCTGGTCTCGAAGCGACTCTTCCAAACTCCTATTGCAATGCAATGCTTCAGGTATGTATGAAGCGATGTGTTAAGTGGCAAGGTTGCACTTTATTCTCAGCTGTCACTGTGTTTAGAAGTATGGTGTCACTGTTGTGTGAAACATTCATTGTAAACTCTGCTTGAGGTGGTTAACCTGCCTATGCTCTCTTTATTAATTATAACTTGACTAACAACACGTGTTTCTGATGAGCTCAGTTGTTTTGCTTTATACTTTGATCTTCGGGTGGATACTTGTATTTGGATACTCTCTGAGAATCTCGGTACATACAAACACATTCTGTTCCTTGAGTTTTAACACTTTAATTTAAAATTAAATACTTATCCTTAGGTTTTCGCAGCTATTGTTTATGTATTATTTTAGATTTTGGGAATAAGTTGTGTTGAGCGTTGAATGTGTTTCATTTTGGCATACCTTTCATGTTGAATCATCCTGAAGTGTTATATTGCTTTGAAAGCGTAAATAATTATGTGGAGCCACAGGTTTTACAATTTTGTTTCTTTGTCAGGTGCTGTACTACATGAGCCCTGTCCGAAGTGTTCTGCTGTCACATTTATGTCACAAGGAGTTCTGCCTGGCTTGTGAGCTTGGCTATCTGTTCCACATGCTAGATATTTCACAAGGATTTCCTTGCCAGTCCAGCAACTTCCTTCGAGTTTTTCGCACCATCCCTGAAGCATCAGCACTGGGTCTTATACTTTCAGACCAAAATCCTGAAAGCAAAAAGAAAGCAAACTTAATCCAACTCATTCAGGTACATTTATATAACTACTTGCTAGATGAGAGGGAGAGGGTTTTCTTCAGGCTGGAGTGTTCAAACTTATTCTTAGTTGCTTTCCATCTCTCATTGATCTTGATGTTCACTTATTGCCAAACTATCTAATAGTACAAATTATACATTGTGTAGGGACATAAATTATGTTCCTCAGATGTCTCCAGAGGTAACAGTGTTTAGGATTTACGCCTAATGAATCACGAGGCAATAATCACACTGTGTGACCCTACAATTAACAAGTGTGTCAAGGCATGTTACGGTAGAGTACACATATATTCAAAGTGCTTATGATTTCACATACCTGACACTAGAGATGTGACACTACATAGAGTAAAGAAATTATTTGTCATTGAGTTCTGTTAAATATTCCCCACTCCAAACAATGTTTCAGAGAAATATTACATGCATCAGTGAGATAAACATTTTATGTTGTGTGTGTATATATATATATATATTTTACAGTGAGCCATTTTTTAGAATATTTATTTATTTGGACCTGAACTTCATATAAAATATACATTATGTGGGACCAATTCGGGGTCTGCAGTGGCGTCTGAGGCGTGGGCCTTGAGCCGCTTGGTCGCCGGAAACGTGGGTTTGAATCCCACTCAAGCCATGGATGTTTGTCCGCGTTTTTCTGTGTGGTGCTGTCCTGTGTACAGGTAGAGGCCTTGCGACGGGCCGATCCCTCGTCCAAGGTGTCCTACCGAATGTCTATAGATCAAGCCAACGAAAAGTTGGGACCCGCAGTGCTCAGGCACTTGAAGAACGGGTCGTTCCCAGTATCCAGTGGACCAATTCAAACTGGAATAAATTATATTTCATTAAACATGCATATTGTGGCACCATATTTAAATTTTAATAACTTGAAGTTCTGCATTGTCAACTGCAAAATTTTAAATAATGGCTTAAATTATGTTTACACTTCTGCTTGTAATGTTTTATATGCATGCCGTCTGTTACTCTAGTTTTCCTTGCATTATTTTCCAGAGTTGGAATCGTTTCATCCTCCATCAAATTCATTATGAGATCCTAGAAACACGAAAACAAAAACTGTTGGAGCAGCAGCGGCAAAATGATTTATCTCAAGCAGCTGATCGCGACTACTTTGTATACAAGGAAAAGGATTTTCCCAGCATACTTGGTGATATTCATACAAGACTTGTACCCAAGGCCAGTGTTGACAGTTTAGCCATCCATGATGCAGATGAGAACATAAGTAAGATAACCCGAGTCTTTCCCAGAATTTTGAGTGACATTCATTCACATCTTGTGTCCAAAACACTGTCAGCAAATGGTCATAGTTCCAATGCTTATGGTGAAGAGGATGGTAAATATGCAAGGATATCAGCAGCTGCTGAAGGTAGAGTAATGAAGAATCTGTAATATTCATTTCAATATTTACAGGATACAGGATGATTTTTTAAAATTGAGCATTAAGAATAAATTTAAATTCTTGAAACTGATTCCAGAGTAAAGCATTAGTGTGATGATGGCTATCTTCTGGGTTGTTGCACCAGTTTACTGATAGATGGCTGATGTTTCTTAGAAGCTTATGCTGTACTCATCAGGGTGATATCTACCAGATTACATGGTGCTGGATTCCATAAGGGAGCTGTCTTCGCACTCATCACCATGAAAATCTCAGATTTCACATGAAAGTTCTAAATATTTAAAGAGTTTGGAAATTCTGGTATCTAACGTATCAGCAGATTGTTGTTTATGTTCTGTCAGGGTTGACATAAAATAAAACTACAGGATATGACACATAACTTGGATTCCACATAGTAGCATACAGTGGCAGTATTCTGTGTTGTGACTGCATTACCCAGTAGTTTGCTCACCACTGCTGCAGTATTCTGTCATGGCAGTTTCCATGTTTAGTGGGACATTCTCTATTTTACATAGCACTGACTTCAGATGGGTCGGAGTGAGTAGTACCTTTGCATGTTTTTTACACCCAGTAACTCAGTTGAAGTATTACACTGGCAGTAGTTTAGTATAACACATTTATGATGGATGTTCAAGGAAGGTTTGGAATGAAATTATTTCAAAACCAGTGTTTCTGTCCAAGCCCCTTTTTACTCTGAATCCAGTGTCCCTGCCCTGTTATCTTTTTCATTGTTACGTGACATGCTTGATGCCTTCCACATCTATCTCCTTCAAAATATCCTCCCTGCTCTAACAGCTGCATGTCTGGCAATGATGCTTTGTCTGTGGATTCTGCAGTTCAGTGATCAAAACAGGAAGATGCCACATGGGGCAATGTATGTGTTGTATTTTGCTGAAAGTCGACAGGATGTGGGATTATCATGGTGAAACTAGTATTAATTTTGAAGTTCGGGACTTTTCTTGCGGATGACATCCTGTATTCAGTAAATTGGCCGACTCACATCAGGGTTCTCTGCTGTTGGAATGTTGCCTGCTTGCCCTGCCACTTGCCTGCTGTGATGCCACCATCTCATGTGATGTATTAGCTCTAAGTGCTTTGAATGTTTAATGGAGTCAGTGATGAAAATGAAGAGCAGTAATTCATAATAATTTATGAAAGGAAAATGATGATCTGAACAATACCGCATAATATATAGCCGTTATCAAGTCTATAAAAACTTGTTTTTAGTTTATGATTGGAGATGTGATACTTTTAGGATTCCAGATGATTGGTAAAATCCTCCAGTGCAGTGGTCCCCAACGCGGTGCCCGCGGGCGCCATCACGCCCGCCAAGGCTTTTGGGTGCCCGCATTGTTACAGAAAGAAGTTATACTGAATAATGAAGGTCGTTCAACCATGAACATTATAAAATCAAAGCACAGATATCGACTTAGTGATGCCCATCTTGACGATTGTTTGCGAGCAGCAACATCATCCTACACTCCCAAATTTGAAAAACTGGCCGATCAAATGCAGTGCCAAACATCACACTAACTTCCCACTTGAGTAATAATAATTGTACTTATAAAAGTACGTATTTTTGATTGCATGGTTTCTTGTATCATTAAACGTCGTGTTGTTTTGTGTATTATTTGGTGTCCATATCTTATTTGTCCAGAGAAAAGAAAATTTGGCTTTGTTAATTGGTTGGTGCGCGCCACGATCTCATAAACTCTCAAATGTGCCCGTAGGCACAAGAAGGTTGGAGACCACTGCTCCAGTGTATAAAAACTAAAGACTGCTTTTGTAGGACCTTTAGAATATATTTGGTAATGCTTTCAACTACTTAGTATGCAAAGTAATGTTTAAATGCAGTGCACTGTTATTGGTATCTTCACAATTTGAAAACACAAGCATTATTACATTCTGCTACTATTGTCAGTTCACTGCATATCAGTCTCCATTTTGCTTCCATCATCATACTAGAACACTACTATAATACTTCTAGTGTTACTTGCTGCTTGCTGAAGTGTAACTTTTGTACTTAGCTCAATGCATGATAGAATAATTTTGTGTTAGTAATGTGTCATAATTCAGTTGGTTGGGTACAGGTTTCTCATTGCTGTGGTCTTGTTTCTATCTCACTGCAGTTCATATTGAATTTGTGGTGGACGAAGTGCTAAGACAGGTTCTTTTTCCTGCTCTTATTATTCCACGAATGAATACTGTGTACTTATCACTGCTTAGTAGGTACATGGTACGTTTGAAACCAGCCGGTATATCGTAATATCAGTTCTCATTTGGAACATTCCTTTTGATCTAGCATCATTGATTACCAAGTGAATATTTGTGCAAAATGTGGTCATTTTCAAGAGTTGCTGTTTAGTTTCTGATATAAACAAACATCCAGGAAAGTGTCTGCATGTAAAATAGTGTAGTTAGTACTTTCCTTTGAAAGGAAACAAATTAGGCTTATGAAATCACCATGCTGTATGCCATTCTAACTTTTTAACCGGTTTTTACAATACAACTCTCATGAATGATCTTGTCTGAAAATATGAATCCCTTTCTGTTGTATGTGAAAAGGTAAGAAACGAATGGAAGGAAAGACCAGCTCCAGAAGGGAAGCAGAAGATGAAGAAACTGAAATTAGCCGCCTGTTTGGGATGAAAAAAATTCATGTTCACAGATGTCTGAAATGTGGTCATGAAATTAGCAAAGAGTCCATAGTTCTACTGTGCAATCTCATATATCCAGACATTACTTCAGGTATGGGTTCAGATATTCTTAGCCTTTTTCAAGTCATGATTCTCAGTAAGTTGGGATTCTCCAACCATTTACAAAGGACAAATGCTGCAGATTTTCTTTTTCCCCATAAATTAGTCTTGATTTCAGTTGATTTCAATTAAAGACTTGAGTAAAGAAGAATGTTTTGAAATGTGCATGCCATCATATTATTTGAATAAGTGCCAAATGCTACTTATTGATGCTCAGTAATGTCATGTGTTGTAGGCAAGGTGGAATTTAGTTTCTGTGATGTGCTACTACAAAGTTTGTGTCCAGAACAGACAACTCCAGCATGGTGTGACTCCTGTGACAAATATCAGCCGACCTTGCAGACTCGCCAATTAAAAGTTCTACCAAACATTCTTACAATGAATTGTGGTCTGGACAATCAGCAGGTTGGAATATTCTTTTAACATTTTAGTTACGAAGGGAAATTTAACTTGACTTGCAGGAATAGGGGAATTAAACTTGAATACTATTAGCTGGACTTTAACCCCAGGATTAGCAGTTTAGTAGTATGCTGCTCTGATGTAGAACCAGCCGGACTGTGCATGGTGGATATCATATGTTTTTCTATATTAGGCACTGCAAAGAGTTTATTATTTCAGTGTCATCCCATGTATGTACTTCGACTGATTAGCATATACTTTTAGTGAGGTTTGTTGGAGGATAGGGTGGCACTGAAGTAGTTTTTCTCTCTGAGTTCTTTGCTTTTTCTTGGCTATTTGTCATCCCACCATGAATTTGTACGTATCTGTCACAGCTCCACGAGGCATATAGCGGTCTTGACCAAGTAGTGCATTTTCATATCCTTGGTCTTCAGTTAGGGACTTTATCTCTGACCCAGCACTTACTGGTAGTTTAGTTTTTAGTGTCAGTTATAGTATGTTCAAATTGTTTCCTGCAGAATAAGTGTTTCTGGCAAACACAGATGGACCAGGTTGTTCAGAAAGTACTAAACCAGACCGGCATCCAAGGCGTCAGTGGTCCATCTGGTAGACCGTGTCGGTATGGTTCCAACTGTTCAAGACCAGGTTGCCGATTTAAGCATCCTGGCAAAACAGGAGGTAATTGTTATTTCAGAGATTTTACTGTTTTCTAAATTTATTTTCATGAATCTGTCAGTGTGAGGTTATGTCCAGTTATTGTAACACATTTTTATAAGAAAACATATCGATACTGCATGTAACCAGAAAAGAAGTACTGACTTTTATGGGAATGGAAGTTTAAGTTTATCTTTCTGTACAGTTTTAAATCTGAACCAGAAATTTTAAAGACAAAGGAATGTTTCCTGTAGTTAGGATTATGTTTACAATATTTAAGAGGCTCGTTTTGTCTTTATGTTCAAGTAAGAAGGTAGGGGAAATACATAATCAGGCCGATGACCCTTCTTTTTTTTCAGAAAATTATACTGCAAATACAGGTCTTCTATATAATACACATTCTTGGCTTCCTATGCATATTCGAATAGAGTTGTTAAGAAAGGGAGGAGTTAATATTAGGAAGATACCGCCAGTGGATAATGAACCACCAGAAAATGTGAGTATTAAAAAATCGTAGACTCTATGGATTCATATTTTTATATTACAGTATCTTTTTTGTGTTTAATTTTAATTTGCTGGTGCTGGATGAGTCATCAGTCAGAGATGGTTTTTTCAGGTCGTCATGTCAGAGGATGTAACACAAGCTATCAGTTATGACTTGGCTGCCATTGTGTGCTACATTGATTATCCTCATCAACATGAAGGGAAGAACTTGGTAGCACTTATTAATGTGGGGCCCAGCTATCACTGCAGGGCAATGGGATCACCCGTCAGTCAGTGGTACATCTTTAATGACTTCAGGTGAGTTTTACGAAGGAGTATAATGGAGATGGTTTGATTTGCTTCGTGAGAATTACACAACATTCAGTCTTGCTGTACCAATAAGTGATGACATGTGTAAGAGGAAGTGGAAAGAAAGGGGACAATAGGATTTGAGGCTTTCACGGCAGTAAGTTTGAGGTTGGCTGTCTTCTATGTTGTAGCGCCATGTAGTCTGGTAGAAGTTTACCAACGTTTCAGAGGTCCTTGCTGATGAGTAACTTATCACCTGATGGTGGAGTTAGCAAGGACCTTTAAAACGATGGTAAACTTCTACCAGACTACATGGTGCTACAACCCAGAAGATAGCATCTTAAAGGGGAAGATGCTAACGGCTTATTTCCACACTCTTCATTCCATATTAGAAACATAACACAGGATTGTAGGTGTTTTTAAGAACATTCCATTTCTTTTCTTGCTGCAGCATCTCGCCAGTTCCTGCCCAGGAAGTGATTTGGTTTAGTTTGGACTGGAAGATACCCTGTGCCCTATACTGGGTGAATCGAGACATGCCCAAGAATATGATACCACCTGCTCATAATCCTATCACAATAGATGTGTTTCTGGAAGACAGGTGTTTAGCGCTCAATAATGGGGCCAGAAAAATGATCACATTCACACCCCTGGCAGCAGATGAAATGCCTGGGCAAGGTAAGGGATTGAATAGCCTCTAATCTAACCTCAGACTAACAAGCTAATTAAAAGAGTCAATAGCAGTTGGTCTAAGAGTAACTGTTTATTCAGGGGATCAAAAATAATACAGTGAAAACTCTATCCATCGTTCCCCGAACTATCGTTTTCTTGGAAGCATCGTCTGTTTTGTTCGGTCCCTGATACGCCCCATGTAAAATAATGTTACATTTTCTCGCTTCTATCGTTCCTCAAACTGTCGTTTTATCGCATCAATTGTTCAAAAATCTTAGTCCTGGCCCACAATTTTCCCGCACTGATCGTTTCCCGTATTCATCGTTTTTATTTCTCTCCCCCATCAAAAACGATGCATCGAGGTTTCACTGTGTATAATATTACTTAAAGAGTGTGGGTGAGTCGACATTGTTAAGAGGCTGATATATTTAAGTTGTAATTGTGAAGAGATGAACATAGTAGTAATGAGAAAGCCCCACCCTTTTGTTTGTGAATGATCTGACTGTTGGAGCATATGATTTGCCGGATTAACCTCTGTTGACAATGTGTCATGGCTTGCCCATAGCCCTTCTGGCTGTGCATTGCTGTAGCATAGCACTAAACCATTAAACCGAGTAGTTTAATTCAGGCCAGTAGCCTGGTATAGTGGAGATTTAAATCCCCTATTCCATTATGATATAAAATTTTTCTGTTACAGGTGACATAGTAGCAATGGATGCAGAGTTTGTAACATTAAACCAAGAAGAAGCTGAACTTCATAGCGATGGTAAATTATCGACTATCAAGCCATCACATATGTCCGTAGCTCGTATCACCTGCATACGAGGGTATGTATATAAATGTAAATTTTGGGAACATACGAAATAGTGTAATTATTTGTCACTTCATGTAACTAAAACAGTATAATGTGAATACATTTACTGGGAACGACCCGTTCTTCAAGTGCCTGAGCACTACGGGTCCCAACTTTTCGTTGGCTCTATTTGTTGACAGTTGGTAGGACTCCTTGGATGAGGGATCGGCCCGTTGCAAGGCCTCTACCTGTACACAGGACAGCACAACACAGAAAAACGCATGGTTTGAGTGGGATTCGAACCCATGGTCCCAGCAACCAAGCGGCACAAAGCCGACGCCTCAGACCGCACAGCCACTGCTGACCCCGTGAATACATTTACAAGACTTAAATTACTGTGTTACAAGACACAAAAGAAGTTACGGATTAGTGTCGTTTGTTCAGACAAGGTGTTTGATATTCTGCCTTACCACAGACACTTTCGAGAGAGTCGTGATTTGATTTGTTGCAGTTATGGTCCACTGGAAGGAACACCATTTATTGATGACTATATCTCAACACAGGAACAAGTAGTGGACTACTTGACACAGTTTTCAGGCATCAAACCAGGAGACTTGGATGCCAACTTCAGCTCTAAGCACCTCACCACACTGAAAGCCACATACCAGAAACTTCGCTTTCTTGTTGACAACGGGGTCAAATTTGTTGGGCATGGACTTAAAAATGACTTCAGGTACAATAACTAGTCGTGCCCCACAACGTCCTCACTCCTGTGTCAAACTTATTTTGAGCAAAGAAATAGATTACAAAAATTATAAGGAAATGGGCGGGGATCCTTAGACTAAAATGTGAATTCAGTAAAATTGCCTTTTGGTGTTTTATGTAGTCTACGAGGTTTTCCCTCGTGGCCTGTGAATTATCATTTTTATGCACATTTTGTTTAAGAAAATTTAGTACATTTAATTGTCTGCGAAATAAATTTCATTGCACTTATGAATCATCATTCAGCTTCAGATAATTACCATTTGGATGACTCATTTCCTTGCGACACCATTATTTTTTGTCTTCACCCACATGAGTAATGTGTACGCTATACATGACCTGACATCTTTAATTTAAATGTATGCTTTGAATGTACAGGAGAAAATTGGAACAGGGAGAGTCTGATGTTTCTGAACAAATGTAGAAGTTTCTCTCATAAAATTTCATTCCAAAGGCCTGAAAGCAGATAGTGAATTAATTCATCACAGAATAGTGAATATGAGATAATGCAATATGCTTTGTGGGTGCACATCGTATCAGTTGTTGTTTGTAGCTTTGTGCCATGTTAATTCCAGAATGACTTACGCTGATATGTGATGTTTTCCGATTCGCAGAGTGATCAATTTGGTGGTTCCTGCAGACCAAGTAATAGACACAGTTCTTCTTTTCCATCTGCCACACCACCGCATGGTTTCCCTCCGCTTTCTAGCGTGGCATTTTCTAGGTAAGCGTTACATAACAAAAATTTGTATGCTCTGTAGATATATTATTTAAACAAATGTGCTTATCATAAATTTGTACCTCAATTCTTTACAAAACACTACCACACTGTTTTAGATTGTCCAAGGAATTTGTGTTATTTTTACGCATGCTTAATGATTAAAACTAGAAACAATTATGACACGGGTGTCCGACATAACTCAGAACCAACGTACTTGCATGCATTGGCTATGGTCTTCATCGTGATTTCCTCATTTCCCAGTAGTTTGCTGGCTCCACGTTAATTGCAACACCTGTATAATAAGTCTCCTTTTGTACCTCTTCATGCAATATTATAGAACTGGTGGAACACGCGGCAAATGTATGTGGTGTGATAAATGCATACAAAATTTTAGATTGAAAATTTGAAGCAAATTTACCATTTGGGAGACCTGGATTAGAGGATAATAATCTAGATGAGGGGATAATATTGTAATGATTCTAGTGCAATATGTACCGGCACGGTGGTCTAGCGGTTAGAACGCTGGCCTTGTAATCCTGGGATCCTGGGTTTGATTTCTGGCGGTGCCTGAATTTATAACTTGTGTTGGGCAAGGCCGTGGTCTAGGCGACACAGAGTTTTCCTCTGGGGCTTCCCTGGTTTCTCCGTGGCACTCCATACACACAGAAGAAGGCAATGGCCTTGCCTAAAAAACATATGTGAACAGGTCCCAGTCCGAGAAAAGGATGGAAGGATCCTGTTCATAATATGTCACCAACCTCCTGTAAAGGAGATGGCGTAATAAATAAGAAGAAGTAGTGCAATATGGTGTGAATATGTGGAGTGTATTTGACTGGTTCAGGGTAAGGTCCATTGGTAACTTCTGAGTTCCAACTGATCAACTGAGTTTTTTAGAAAGAACCTGCACCGTGAGGTCAGCTGATTTGTATTGCATTTTCTTGTGAATACCAGAATGTAGGCTATGTTGTTTTGTTTTAGGATTAAAAATTCAGTCAGTCACTCACGATTCCATTGAGGACGCTCGGACAGCTCTTCAGTTGTATCAGCGTTATCAACAGGTAGAAGCCGAAGGCAGTGTGACTGCCACGATGAAAGAATTGTATGAAGCTGGTAAGCAGTTACAATGGAAAGTGCCAGGGGTTGATACTTAAGACATTTCGGTAGTTGGGTTATGAAATCCTGCAATAAATTTAACTCTCATCAAGAGAATATTTTTTTAAACAAATATTTTTTGATAGTACTCACACAAAAGAAAGACATTCAAGAAGCATAATATATCTGAATGATGATGAAATGCTAATTTTTCTGCTTCCAAATGGCTAGTGTCTCGTGAAATTAACGTCATCAATTTATAACACTGTTTTTTATTTTTATGTTTTAAATTTTAGCACTTTACCAAATTATTACAGATTTTATGGGAGACGTCAGTGATGTTGCGTATGGAAAGTTCTGGTTTCAGAATCTTTGCTGTACTTGAATGGATGTTAGTATGTATTCTTTTTAGGAACTTGGTTATGTAATATATGAATGTTAATGTTTTCTTGTGTGTTCTATCAACAAAATTAAATGCTCATTCCATACATCCAATAAAGATGTAGTTATTAACAATTTAGAGTTCTTTTAGTAGCCTTTCAGTGGCTATTTAAATGAACTGCATGTTTAGTATTTTTTTAGGAAATTTCATATAGGCTAGTATAGATACATATTTATCTGATTTTATCTCATACAATGAAAGTTTTTTATTTTTCCTAATATTTAACTGATATTATATAGCCTATTTGTACCTCTTTGAATTATTTGATATGGGAGTATGTTTTACCTAACTTCACTTCGTGCTAGGCAGTTACCAAAAGTGCGCTATTTTTGGTTGCTTGTTGGAGCTGCAAGTAATGAGATACATTGAGTTCAGTATCGTAACTACGAAGGCATGATATATTAAAGCTTCCAGAAACTGTTAGCAGGATAGATATATACTTTTATTAAAATGTTTATTTGCCTTTTTAAATTTCCATTCTTTTGTATTTCACCAGCTTCAAAAGCACAAAATATTACGGAGGTTTAATTATCAAAATCAAACACTTCAAATAATTTCTAAATCATAAATACATTATCCATAAAATCATTTGTAGAAGAATGATGTTAACAGTTACAAGCAGGGCAATAGCGCTAAAGTCTGAGGAAGTATCTGGCAAATTTAACGCAGTAAGAATTTGTAGTACCATATCAGAAGTTATGCACAGAAGTTGATCACTACACTGCATAAAAATAAATTCATAGGTATTGCTATGTACACGTAGATATCAGAACCGTCCTGCCTTTTCCAAGCGCTAAATGTAATTCATAAACGAGCTGGGAAAACTGCCCTGTGGAAGCAATACTGCCAGAAAAGTTGGTTATGTTGTCCTCCGAATGAAATAGTAAACTGGGAATGTTGTCAGTATAAAAGTGAAATTCCAATTATGAATGTGTCGTAATTCCATTTGCACTTGAACAGTGTTTATGAAGTATTTGGTTGTGTAACTTTATGCATCGCTTTGCTTTTCGTATGTGATGTTCAGTTAACTCCTGGCACTATTCTGCAATGCATTTGATGTGTTTGGTGATTTAGTTGTAATGATAATTCATATTAGTAGATTTATTTTTGTAATGCTGATTTACATCAACGTTTTAGTATTTTTTTAAAAGAAGTTATTCAACCAAACATGAAACAGACAACATTCCGTTGTACTATGTCTTTAACTTAATTTTAATCGGGGTATAAATTAAACGTTTAACCTATTATGAGAGGAAATTATATTTTCTTAGATTACTTTTTTATAAATCAAAGACAGTATTTAGATTGACGTGTAATTTATTCTCATGTAGGAAGCCAAGATATACTTGACTTAATCGTATTTTTCGGCTCAATATTTTATCATGTATGTTGTGGTACACATGGAATGTATGATTTTAAATAAAAGAAATTACTTAAATATTAGTATGTCATATTGACAGATCAGGTTTCTTTTTCAGTATCTGCCATTCTGGAAATTAACGTTCATAATGTTCTGCATTTATCAAGTACGAACAACACTGAATGCATTTGTTGCAGAGTGTTTTAGATTTTGCGCCACGTCAAAAGTGAAATGGCATCCGGATGCTTTGTAGAACCTGCTGCATTCTTCAGGATAAAGGCAGGAAGTAAGTTCAGATATTTTGTATCTATTCAAGGTGGTGCAAGATCTGAAAAACTCTGCCAACAGACTGGACTGCCGTGAAAACCGTAAACGTCGCGCAACTTGTTTGGTTTATAGTTGTGTTTAATGTGACTTATTTTGTGTTTAGGTGTGGGGTTTGTGCCTATATTCTCTGGAATAGATAGAATATTTGAGGCATATGAAAGTAATTATTTCATTTAACATTTTTAAATACATTTTAATGTGTGGCTGTTGAAAGAATACAAACCAGTATATGTAAATTTATATTTATTGTCTTACAGGTTTAGACATTTTTTGTACTTTCATTATTTTTAAGACATGCCACTCAAATCTGAAGACAGTGATGGACCAAGTAAAATGCATCACCTATGCAAAATATTTTTTAATAACCTCAGATTATTCATCCCCTTCTTTGTTCTGCTGGAGATTGTAGATGTAAAAATGTGCTCTGCATTACACATCAGTACAAATATAATTATTCCACATCAGAAATGTTACTGAAAAAAGACTACAGTATTTCAGGAAAGTACCTTCGTCATATACTGGTATTAAGTGCAATAAAATGAAATTAGTGAGACCAACATAAAGTAGAAATTTCCCGGGAAGAATGAAGAAAAAACACTTATGTCGTGCTGCGGTATGAAATTCCTGTCATCTGTGTTGGTGACATTAATAAAGGTGAGATTTCAGGTTCGTACAGCAACAAATATGTTTTACGATGTTACGTCATGTATTCTGCTAGAAACTGACTGATGTTTCAGAGGAGCTTACTGCCTCCATCTTTGTCGCTAATAAACTTATCATATCTGAGATAATGCTCAGTGCAGAAATAATTCTGTATTCTTTCCATGGCTCTGATCAAGAATGGAATCCCCATAAAGCTAATAATCAAATAAATTATTTCATTAATTGAATGATCCGTGGAGCTGAAGAATTATTCTTTAGCTCTATGGATTAGGACATGTGGGTTATTCTGATGCAGAATCAATTATAAAATAATTAATCTTTCAGGTATTTGGTCCATAACAAATCTATGTACAATACATTTTCACTGTTACTGTTGCAAAGGGGCACCACTGCCTCAACAGAACTGTGGCTCGTATTAAGTCCATTGTCCAGTCCCCCAATAATACATGAGTGAATATGGATTAGCAGAGGAATGGTACTGACGGGGAAAAACTGAAGAAAAATCTGTTCTGGTTTTCTTGTCTACCATAAATCCCACATGGACTGCCCTAAGCACAAACCCAGGTCTCCATTGTGAGAAGGTGGCGACTAACCTCCTGAGCTGTGGTATGGCCTCATAACACAATACGGGGAAACGGGCTTATTTTCATGCCCCTGAGCGTGAATTGGAAATATCAGTATTAAATGGGTGCCATATGATACACTCATATACAAGCTTAAATTCAAAAGGATAATTTTATTTTTTATGACAAACCCCACACTTACTAATGTATGTAATCAGCTTTCTAATTTAAATAAAATTATTTTTTTAAAAACTGTGTATGTTTTAATGCCCAAAGACGTCATTTGTGGGAGAATTTATTTTTGTGTACATGTAGAATACTGCATTTGTGAACACCACAGCTTACAATTAAATACAGAACATTGCTATCTTACTGATAGTTCTGCGGAAGAGTAAAAGTGTTCTCATATTACTGATATTTTCAGTGTTACTTATTCAATTATAGTCATGTTTTAAAATTTATAATATGAATTCTCATTTTATTATGAGCAAGATGTAAAGAAGAAAATATTTTTGTATGTACAAAGCTGGAAAGTTAAATCACAAACTGAGAAGATACGTATTTTATTTTTAAAATGTTGCTGTACTTATTTGGTGTACTTTCATTTTTAACAATGTACATTTCATTATTTAAGTGGTTCAATACTTGTAACATTTCAAAACATTCCTTGTACTTTACTGTGAGAAAGATTGTGTGCTGTTTTGTAAGCAAGACACTGAAATACAGTTAGAAAACTCTGAGTAATTCATCCAACATGATTGTGATTATTTTAATCTTCCTTTCTGCTTGTAGCATTTTTTTCTATTTCTTTTTGCCCATCCTTGTGAGAGATTGTCTGTTCTTGATTCTGTTGCTCTCTGTTGCTTCCCCACCTGCACTGCGATACCTACTTTAGCGTTTCCGAAGACTAAAGGATAACTGTTGATGGAAAGCAACAGATTGGCAGAAATGACATTGTATGTCCAAGTAATAAGGAAAAGACAAGAGAAAACAGAAGCTATCCCAGAATAATTTTATTGCACAGATGGAGTGACAACACATTAGTGGAGATGCCCAATTTACAAGTCCATGGATTGCACAACAGAATATGTATTAATAGACATCACTGAGCCCAGTGCCTAATTTGTCTTATGCAACGTAAAGCGCTCATGATATCGTATAAGAAGAGAATAATCACTGAAGTCAATATTAGCAGAATGCTTCACAAACACTAGCAAACGATTTCGATGTGAAGAAATGCTTGAGATTAAACACGTTCGGTTTCTGAATACACCACGTTCGCACTAGCGCAGCCAGGGTGACCCTGACTCGAGTGTAACGCTAGACGTTCGTAGTCTTTTGCATGGGGACGAACCTGTTTCTGATTTCAGTTCTGTACGTGATTATTGTTTCTTTGCCTTTTAAATGATACAAACGTGTCTTTGAATGAAATGCGAAGCATCGAGAATATTCGTCCACGGCAAGCAGGCGTATTACGGACATGATATAATTATAAAATTCCATAAATTGTAATATTCGTGTAGTAATAAGTTTCGTGAAATTTACGCTGCCGAAATTTCCTTTTGTAGACAAGTGTTATTTCCAATTTCCTAAAAAAAAATAGGCGGCGGGGAATATCATTAACGCTTCTGTAAAGAGCACTACTGGTACCCCTCGGTATTAATCATAGATAATCTGCCATGTATTAATAGAGTAGCAAAAGACAGTAGACCACATTCATTGGCCCATCTGTTGGGCCTTTTGTAAAACAACATTTAATTCTTGGAGTCATAGGAGTCGTTACTATTCAGAGGAGTAGTGACGACATAAATCATTTCACGTCTACGTTCGTTGTCACGTTACTAATGTGCAGTGTAGTTAAGCTTTCTTGCAAAAAACATTTAAGTATGGAAATATTCCTGTTTGTTTTATTTGTGTGTGAAACTTCTTCTGCCACCGCAGGGTAAGGAAATAAGATTTAAGATTTTGAGAACGAAGTGCTGAGGACCTAAGAAAGAAAAAGTAGGCGGGTAACAGATGACATTTTTAGAGAGATGTTAAGATGTCTGTCTTCTGGGATTTTGCCCCGTGTTAGTCTGGTAGACGTTTACCGACGTTTCAGAGGTCCTTGCCTCTAACATCGACCTGATGATGGAGGCAGGAAGGACCTCCGAAACGTCGGTAAACTTCTACCAGACTACACGACACAACAACCCAGAAGACAGACATCTTCAGACTCACCATCTTGAAAACTTAAATACTATACAGAGAAATTTTATAAGGTATTGAGTGGATTCAATTGGATTGGGATAGGTTTCAATGGTATACTTTTGTGAATGTGATGATGAACCTATGGGTTGCATAAATACAGGGAACGTCTTGAACTGTTCAGAAACTCAGTTTTTTGAGGAAATCTCTAGCCATTGGAATGAAATCGGTCAGATTACTTTATTTTAACTGCCCTCATGATCACAATTTTTTATATCCAAACTAGGTAAGGTTAGGTGTAGTTAAAAAGTATAATTTATGTTATAATGTTAATGATATGGGTGGCTTATCTCAGTGTGATGAAGTGTCTTAAAATTATTTTCCTTCTTCAAATGTTTTTTTGTCTTATTTTACAGCACATTTAATAATATATACTGTTTTGTATTATCTTGGTAGATTATAAACTTCAAGACAGGACAGTAATTTAGATAGTGTGGTACACTTATATATTTGTGCGTTGCCCACACTCCGATGTTTGTTTCTCGTATTACTGTGGTTCATCCTTGAAAGACTGGATGCTGCCAAATTGACCATTAACAGAATGGTTTATGCATTGATAGGGATGACGGTGAGATGGAAGGTGGCATATCATGTGCCTTTCAAATGACTTTGTAATAAATCTCCTTAAGTTTTATTCTCAGGGGAATAATAATATTAATAATCACAAGCAACGCAACTTAAAGTTTGCAGAATTTGAGATATAAGGTCATTTCATTATCAGTTGAAGGCGCTTTCATGACAACAAGTTGCTCATATAATGTGCACCAAATTTTGTCACACTGCTTAAAAAATGTGTGTAAATTCATCTGTAACAGTTCAAGTATCGTACTGGATGCCTCCATTGCATCATTAACTAACTCAAGAATCATCAGTCAGTCATAATGGAGATTTTTCAATTAACTTCTGTTTTTATGTATACACCGTGGATAACTGACTTAAAGACGTGTGCCAAGTCTGACTTGTGCCTTGATTGAGGGGTTGATTCAATTATTGATTTACAGACTATTTAATGATTCTCTACCAACTGCAGGAGTTTTAGCTCTGAATGAAGCATGAAAATTATTTAAGAAAGGTGCAGTTATTTCACAAGCAGATCTGCATTTTCAGTAAATGAACATCAAGGTCAGTCAGGCACTCAAAGTAGCAAGGAATACTTTTGAAAAATATATTTATTCCACTGAAATACATTTTGTTAGATGATTGAAATAGCTGCCTGCACAACGAGGGTCCAGTCCCCAGGTTTTATGTAAGACAATAAGAATCATAGGTTCTATTTTCTCTTATACACCACATTAATTACATTTTACACTCTCACTTGTTGAAGATTGCAAGTAATTAGAAAATAAATATATTTTGGACATGATACTGAATACAGTTTTAAAGTTTTTGTGAGATTTGCCTGGTATTGTGATGTAAGAATTTAACCTGGATATTATACAGGTTATGTTTACATCTGCTAGGCCCAGTTTTGTTTAATGGTACCAATCGACTAGGTATTTCCTCTCCCAATTTGTTTTGTAACTGAGGATAGAGACATTGTAGACATAACCTCTCTATGAAGTAGCGTTACATCTTGATCATTAATTAAACACGTGACTGCATTACATTCTGAACACTATTTAATATGATTATATTTTGTAGAATGTGTTAGACTGAAGAAAGACATAAAACACTTTTCATTTTGTTTTCACAGAATACAAGAAACACTGCTGAAACTGTTGATTATATTCACAGAACTTACAGTTAATTCTCTTAATGGAAAGATAACAATTATTTTTATTTACTTCAAGTATTTGTTAAAAACATTGTATAATATTTTAAATGTTTAATAGAAATCAGATAATAAAATACAGTAACTTGAAAGTACTGCATTTATATCATTAAAAAAACACTTGTATAATAGAATTCTCTAGTTGAACAACGCACGCTGGACTTTTATGAGAACAGGATGATTATAATATTTAGATCTAAAAAGCAGGAAGTGACTGGAGGCAATTGCAAATTGAGGAGCTTCATAATTTGTGTTCATCTTCAAATATTATTATGATGATCAAATCAAGGATTAGATGAGCAGGACATATAACATTCATGGAAATGAATACAAAATTTTATATAGAGAGTCATTTATGGGAGAATAATATTAAAATTGATTTCAAGAGAATTGAATGGTAAAGAGTGGATTCAGTTGACTCAGGATAGGGACCAGTGGTAGGCTTTTGTGAACATGATAATGAACCTTCAGATTCTGTAAAGGCAAAGAATTTCTTAACTGTCTGACTGACTATTAGCTTCTCAAGAATGACTCTGCTTTGTGGAGTCAGTCAATGGATCAACAGTGTTTTAGTTGTTTGGTTTTTACATCAGAGAATTATAAAGGATGGAAATATAAAATATCTTATTTAAATTTTTTTGGTTATAAGTTCATTAAATTCAAATATTTTCTTTATTGTTATAGTGAACCACAGGATCTTAAGTTCACATAACAATATGGCCTGCTAAATTCCATTTACTTGAATTACTGTAATTCAGGATATTATAACATGTAATGAAGAAAATATATGTCATAATGAAATGTTACAATGTAAGGAAATAGAAATGCTTTATGTGATGTTACTGTCTGAAGGCTTAATATGCTTATTTTTCTAAGCAGATAGATTAAAATTATCGAAAAATCAACATGGTTAGTTTAATGACACTATCAACCATCAAAATTGTTAAACCCTGGGAATATTTTTTGTAACAAGCAAATAATATAAATTTCAGTGAAAGTAATGGCAGAATAATTTGGGGAAATCCCAAGACAACTTATTCAAGTGCAGTTTTGCCTACCAGAAACCAATATAGATTTACCTAACATGAAAGCCAGCGCAGCCCTGCTATATTGGCATGAATTCCTGTTTCTTTCTCAGTTACCAACCAGTACATTTTTATTACTAGTAAACAACATTACATTCTCATTTCTTTCAATATTTCTCTCTTAGAGCCTGAACCTTGGCAACTGCGTAAAATTTAATCTCTACGAAAACATCAAATTTTTTACAAATCTCTTTTAGTTTAATAGTTATATTATAATTTATTTCCTTGCAGTACTCTGTGCAAAGTACAGAGAAATGGGTGGAAGAAAGTTTCGAGAATACGGATATCGGTCGCGTATGACGACAGTGGGACACTGAACATTCAACTTTTTTTGTGAGGCTTCTTTGGTAAGTTAATGACTGATTTCAGTCACTATAGTTTTTAGTGTAGTCGTATTATTTATCATCAGTCGTTACATCACCTATACAAAAAAAATACCATCAAACAATTGCACACTATCAAATGAGCAGTAATAGCCAATTATACATCTAGTGACTCAACAAAGAAAAATTCAGAATTATGCTACATTAATGGTCTCACAGCAATTAACAGCTGATGTTTCCCCATTTGATTTCAAACTGAGATGTCGCTATCAGGTCTTCTGATATTTATACTGGAACTTACTGT